GGCGGGTGGCCGGGGGCGGGTGGAGGTAGCGGGGGGAGCCGGCACTGGCCTCCCTAGAGGAGAGACTCTGGGATGGAAAAGCACAACAGGAGGCGACTTACGCGGACGAGGTGGGATCAGCGCCAGAAACCAGGACTCAGGACACGTGGGGGGTAGTCCCAGCTCTGCCCTGACTCCCCGAGGCTCCCTGAGCAAGCCACAGCCCCTCCCCCTGGCCTCAGTTTCTCCATCTGTGCAATGGGCCCGGCCATGCTGCTCAGCTCCGCCCCATTCTGTCTGGCATTGCCAGGTGAACATGGAAACCGCCCGCTTCTTCAAGTCGGACTTCGAGGAGAACGGCTCCATGGCGAATGTGTGCCTCTTCCTGAACCTCGCCAACGACCCCACGTGAGTGTGGCCCCGGCCTGTCCTCGAGGGACCGGAGCCGGCGCCGGCGCCGTGAGCTGGAACACGCCCCGCCCTCTGCCTCTCGTTCTGTGCATCCACAGCGCCCAGCGCCTGGGCACTACCGTAATACACCAAATAGCCATTGAAGTGTACAGCGCCTAGCGCAATGGGGCCCTGTCCATGGCTAGGCACCTGGGAGCTACCATAATACACCTAATAGCAGCTAAACTGTACAGCACCCAGCTCAACAGGGCCCTGTCCATGGCTAGGCACCTGGGAGCTACCATAATACACCTAATAGCAGCTAAACTGTACAGCACCCGGCGCAACAGGGTCCTGTCCATGGCTAGGCACCTGGGTGTTACCGTAAGACACCTAATAGCCATTAAACTGTGCAGCACCCGGCGCAACAGAGTCCTGTCCATGGCTGGGCAGCTGGGTGTTACCGTAAGACACCTAATAGCCATTAAACTGTGCAGCAGAGCTCTTGGGCACTACAGTAATTAATACAAATAATAACACTGAGACATGGAGCCTGCAGGCACCTTAGTCTTGGCGTTGAGCTCCCTTCCCCCGGTGTAAATCCGGAGTCGCTCCGTGGAAGTGGATGGAATTGCTCCAGGGTAAGTGAGAAGAGGCCTCGTTCTCTCTGGAGTCTCGTTCTCTCTGGAGTCTCCCTGGGCCTCGTTCTCTCTGGAGTACTTCCACTGAGGTCATTGGGTCCAATCCCCCGGTGCATTATGGGCCCAAATGCCACCTTAGGGCGGGGCACGTCTCTCTGGGTGGAGCTGATGCTACAGGTGGGTCCGCCCTCCTACAGCATCCTCTGGAAGGTGCCTCCGCTCCTGCCGGGGGTGCCAGTCCTGCTCATGGGCCAACGGAGCGTTGATTCCAACGGGTGCCGGAGCGGAGCCCGGGGCCCGATCCTGCAACGCGCGGGGTGCCCTCACCACCCCTTGACTTCAGCTGAGAGGCAGCTGCCTTCTCCCTTGCAGATTTCACTGTCGTGGGGGTTCCCTGCTCCTCCCCGGGGCCCTATGCTGAGAGTGTAAGGCCCTGACTGCCCCCTGCTGGACGGACTCGGAACTGCTCCCTGCTCGCCCTAGGCCCAATGGGGAGGGCCGGGTTTGTGGCCGGGGGCTCCGAGCAGGAGTCACATGGCCAGGGTGCAGCCAGGGCGTCCCAGTTCCCCGGGGCCACGTTTGGGAGGGAACCCCCGGGTCAGCGACGCCCAGCGGGGACTGTGCCCCGAGGAGCCTGGCCTCTGGCCGCGGTGTCGCCTTTGGCGGGGGGGCGCGGGGGGGCGCAGGCGGCCCCCCCCCCC